CTGGTTATAGGGAGCATACCATGCCCCTATTAAAGCAGCCCCGCTGGCTGCCATTGAGTTTCTGACCCAATTCGAAGTGCAGGTTATCAGCTATAAAGACCTATATGCTCCGGGTCCAACCTATCTTCGAGACCACATTTCCTTTTATGAACTGGCACTGACACTAAGATCTACCAGGAGGCCCTCCTCTTGGTCCCACCTCTGCCTCAAGTGCGGTTGGTGGGGACAAGAGAGCGGGCCTTCTCAGTGGTGGCTCCCCAGCTTTGGAATGCCCTCCCAAGAGAGATTAGGCTAGCCCACACTCTCCAAGCCTTCTATATACAATTGAAAACATGGCTTTTCGACAAACCTTTGACCATGTTTAGAAACCCTTAATGAACATACTTGAGGACCTAGAGATCATTTCATTGTGCACTTTATGAGACTGATATTGATTGCAGTTGTTTTATATCTGCAAATATTGTCACATTTTACTGATCTTAATCAGAGGAGGGGGGATTGTGATGCTTATGTTGGTTGTTACTGCCTTTGTATTATTGTCTATGCACTTTTTGTATTTTGCATGTTTGCAGCTTTGAATGCTTTGTGAGTCGTTCTGAGTCCTTCTGGGAGATGCTGGCGGGGTAGAAATAAATTTTTATTATTATTACTATGTTTACAAAAGATCAATTTAAAATGGGATGAGGAGGCTGAAGTGATTATTTCAGTGAATCTGCTGTAGACAAGTGTTCTTCAGTGAGTGTGGATCCAACCCATTTTTCTGCCAATTAGTATATAGGACACTTGTCTGTTTCAATGGGATTACTGAAAGGAAATATAGGAAAGCGTCTGATGGGCGAGACGTTTAGACAGGTCACATTTGGGAATGATGTCTGGGTGAACATTTGTGCAGCTTTTCAGGAGGGATGCAGAGACTATTGTGGGTTAATTGTAGATTTTCCACAGTGGTAGTATTTTGCATCCTAGCAGAAGGAAGGATTTCTCAAAAGACTGGATAGAGCTGAAAGCCAATTTATCACCACCACGGCTAGTGTTATCACACAGGACCAAAGAACCCAGTGGAACCAAAATAAAGTGTGTGCTATTTCAAGAAACACCTGCATCGCTGCCACTGAGCCAAAGAGGGTACAAGGGGAATAGCTGTGGGGAGGGAGAGAAGTGGGGAGGAAACGGCCAACATAATAAAAAACTGAAAAAATATTCAGGAGGGCCTAACACAATGGTTTCTTCTGCGAGCATACTTTCTCTAACATTTTTTTAAAATGATCATCTATGTCTACTTACTGTATTTCATATTTTATACCTCTGTTGAATTCTATTATTTTATAGCTGCTTACAGTAAAATTTTAAAGCATAGTAATAAACAGTGTTAAATTTTAAAACCAGTTAACAACAGAATAGCAAAGCAAAATATTTCTAGAATGTCCATGCTTAAAATATGAAATCTTTAAAAGCCTCCGAGTAATAGAAGTATTAACCAAGAAAGGAAAAGACACCAGGACCAATTATTTGGAAAAGCTGCTCCACAACTAAGGTGTCAGGGATGAAAGGACTCCTTTTTTCTTGCCAAACACCTTAATTCTGTCATCTAAGAAGCATCAAAATTAAAGTTCTTCATATATGAACAGGATAATAAAGAAGCAGGTGATCCTTAACATCTTGGAAGAACTTGAAAATTAAAAACCAATATTTTCAACTGTTCCTGAAAACAGCCCATTAGGAATTAAAGATCTCTCAAAATTGTCACGATATATTCCCAATTAGCATTTGGGCTCCCAAAATCTGAACCAGTTGCAGCTTCTTTTATTATGGGTATGATGCAACACAGCAATCTAATGAATTCCAGACTATGGGTTACCAACAGGCAAAGTACAAAGTAATCTCCATAGAAAAGGTAAGAGAAAATAGTAAACCAACGTAACACACTGAAGCAACGGACTCTTTAGAAAATAACTCTTTTAAAAAATAGGAATAACTAGTTCATTTCTTGCTACAGATTCTTATAAACTGATATCATCACCTTACATCAAAGAAAATTGTTCCATAAAGTTTAAAATCAGATATCTTGTGAAGTCATTTTTATAGTCATGGCTACTATCAGCTGTCAAAACAAAGAATATTGAAGAAAAAGGAAGATTTGTAATATATTATAGCCAATTTATCATCTAAGTGACATGTGTAGAGCAGCAGGATTGAAATAAACTAAATCCTCCTTTGGGAGGGAAAAGAATTTGCTTTTTAATGTTATAATAATAATGATTATAGTTTTCAGTAACCTTGCTATATTACAGACAGTCCACCAAAGTGTCTGATGTAGGGCATAGCAAGTGTCAGAGATCAGCACCATATTTTTGCCCCAATGGCTACAAGTGTTTCTTTCTTTTCCTAGAAACTTGTGAGAGCTCAACAGCCAATGGCTCAAGGACCAGCACAGGTTCACGGGTCACCACTTTGAGTGACACTGGTGTAAAGTGGGGTGAGGGAATTACATAAATATTTTCCACATTGCCACAGAATGTGGAGCATAACATTGCCAGGATGGAATGACTAGGACTGAAGCCAACACAAAGATGCAATGCTCTTGTTCTCTTGGCCACCATAAATTGACAGGTGACTTGAAGGCATTTTTGTTGTTGTTGTTGCGTGCCTTCAAGTAGTTCCCAACTTATGGTGAACCCTATCATAGGGTTTGCCATTGTCTTACTCTGAGGAAATGTGACTTGCCCAAGGCTACCCAGTAGGTTTCATAGCTGATCAGGCATCTGAACCCTGGTATCTAGTCTCTATACACACACACAATGACAAGCTTTTTACATAGCAGAGGCTGCTATCCTTCAGCCCCCAGACATTGTTGGATTTGCAAGAACCAGAACCACAAATTGGTCCAATGATCAGTAATTCTGAGGTTGTAGAACACAGAGTTGGAACTACACGTCTCTTCTAATGTATTTCTGTTATGCAGTAATACACAACTAAAGCATTCCTCAAAGGTTCCCACCCAACTTCTGTTTACAGACTTCTAATGATGGAGAGTTCACCACCCTTCAAAGCCATCTATTTCACAAAAAAACCCATTTTATAGTTTAAAAAGGTTATTCTAAATATTTAAGTAGAATTTTTCTTGTAATATGAATCCATTTGAATGAACGGATACATGATATATGCTCTGGAATAACAGGAAAGTAGCTTGCTTCATCTCCTTTATGACACCTTTCAGATATTTAAAATGGCTGTTATGTCATCTCTCAGTCTGCTCCAAGTCAAACAGACTACAGTTCCCCTAAGCCATTTCCCATAAGTCTTGGTTTCCAGACCTCTGATTACACTATGTACCATTTTTTTAAAAAAAATCTGTTCCTGGTTTGAAAGTGTTATTTCCTGTTTAATTGTGTGCTACTTACTTTGAAAGTAATTGTTATACTCCAGAAACTTGTTTTTGTGGCTGCCACAAACTATGGTGAATTGGTTGAGACTCTGTCAGATATTCACTAAATATAGAGAAAAATGTGCTGCAGGATGTCCCACAAAAACAAAGTTTTGCAGTTTAATAAACTTTGTGCATGTTTTTTATGATAGAACTAATTAGGAAATGGCATTTTTAACTCAGGGACAAAAATCGTGTTACACAGTGGTATCGTGATGTCCTTCACTGGATACATTTCATCTTCTTGATATCCTTCTGGAATGGTGGAAACTGGAAATCCACACTATATTCAAAGTGGAGACCGAACCAAGCAGAATAGGGTATCACTACTGCTTTCCTTAATTTTTATACTAGAATAAAATCCTTCTTTCTACAGGGAATACTTTCCGAGAGTCCCTCGTAGATGCCTGAAACCATGGACAATATCAAACTCTAGATTTCTGAACCATGGTTGATTACTTAAACTTAACCCACTATCACAGAGTTAAAGGGGGTTTAGAAACAACACTGTCCATGGCTGGCCCACAGAAGACTGGGAAATTGATTAGTGTCAGTCTTTTAATAGTATTCAATTTTATCTGTCTGTCCTAACCATGTTGTATCCTGTCTTCAACTATGAGAGGTGGGTAAAAATAAATGTATTCTTATTATTGAGTTGCTGTGAGTTTTCCGGGCTGTATGGCCACGTTCCAAAAGCATTCTCTCCTAATTTTCACCCACATCTGTGGCAGGCATCCTCAAAGGTTTTGACGTTTGTTGGAAACAAGGCAAGTGAAGTTTAAATATCTGTGGAATGTCCAGGGTGGGAGAAGGGCTCTCTGTTTGAGGCAGGTGTGAATGCTGCAATTGATCATCTTGATTAGCATTGAACAGCCTTGCAGCTTCTGGGCTCTTGTTGTTGTTGTTGTTGTTGTTGTTGTTGTCATTGTTCTCCTTATTATTATTATTATTATTATTATTATTATTATTATTATTATTATTTCCAACTTTCTTTCTGTAGCTTTCTCAACAAATGTTTGCACAACAAGTTAGAGGGTCAGCGCTCAGCCCAAGCACATCACAGAATCCCACTGGAGGATCGAGAGATGCCCACAAACACTTCTGTTTTCTTGGCCATGGATAACTGAAACCACAGAAAGTGAACTTGCAGGTATTGTATATCCCTGTTGATGTAGTGTAGAACTGACCAAGAACATCTAGAGACTGATAACTGAAAATCTAGACTATATTAATTTCTGCGGAACAGCTGTAGCACATAGGTATGCATGGTTTAAATGCAGAGGATCTCAGTTTCAGTCCCTGAAATCATCAGGTACTGTTGGCATAGACCAGTGTTCTGAACCTGTGAGTCCCCAGGTGTTTTGGCCTACAACTCCCAGAAATCCCAGCCAGTTTACCAACTGTTAGGAACATCTGGGGACCCACAGGTTGAGAACCACTGACATAGACTCTTCTGCAAAAACCCAGAGAGCTGTTCCTAATCAGTTCAACATAACTGGGCAAGAGGAATCAATATTCTCAGTAAGTACAAAAGCATTCTACTATATCCTTAAGTACGATAATGAATGTGCTTTACCTGAACAGCAAGACAGGCAGCATTATCAGAAAGCAAAATTTGTTCATCTGTAAAATAAAAATAAAGAAAGGAGGGATGTCAGAAATAGTGGCTCTTTCCTCTTTCAATAATTGCAGCTTGTTTAGGGTGAAAAAATAAATGTATACCAACATAAGGAGACAAACTGCTTTAACACGAATCACATGCCCCATTACATTAATGCTGTTTCTAAAAGCCTGTGGCCCGAAGGACCAGAAATATTTCTTTTAGATATGTTCTCACAATTTAATGTATTATCCCAATAGTGGGGGGAAATCCCAACAAAGACCATGTGTTAGTCTTTTTCTTTCTTTTGTAAAATATAAATAAAGGGGCAATTACTCATTTCCTAATAGAAATAACATCCAACAACTTCATAATTTCTCTTGCTAAAAAAGTAGAAGCATTTGGGGACCTACAAAAAAACTCACCCCAGTTTGCAGTTAATATCGCACACTGTGTCTAGGTCTGTCACCCAAAAGAAAGATGACAAGTACACAGCAATAAAAATTCCATGCTTAGAAGACTAGGGCTGCTACCTATTAGTCTTCATTACTTTGCAGTCTTCTGACAACTGTAGCAGGCTGCTGAGCCCCAAATGGGGGCCATAATGTGATCTGATGATATATGAAGAGCTGCTAAAGGGAGCCTGAACCATCCTAGCCTATACATTTTAACAGTTCCTTTTTACCGAGAGCCCACTTTACCACAAGACTTCAAAAATCTGCTGCCTCAGCTATTGGCGCAGTAAATCTGCCAACTGGGCCTGCAAACCACATCATTTTACACTGCCTACAGCAGCCAATATAATGAGTCAATAATAAACCAAGGACCTTATAGGCCATGGATAGCTGGTTTATATTGGCGGATACAAGTTTAGCACAAAACAAAAAACAAAACCAGATAACTACCACAAAGGGTTCTCCTTTTAACAAGGTCTCCTCCCCTCCCTCCATACCTGTCCGCCTCCAGATAATTACACCGCAGCATATTTGAAGAAGAAAGCACAAAATACGCACCTCTCAAAGGCTGATATAAGGCAGCAGTCTCAGGCCAAGGCTCTGCTGCTGTAGAAGGAGAAAAGTAGTTTAATTCAGATTGTAATCAGTGTTTGTCATTAGTTTTAGGTAAGAATTCTTTGAATTGACTGTGTCTTCCTTCAACCACCACCAGTTTAAACTACATCAAGTATCTCCCAGTTTCCTCCTCATATGGCTGAGCATCCAGCTCGATTAAGAAGCAATATTCACTTCTATCATAATCATGCTTGAATTATTACAAGACCAATTACATAGGTAAAAGTAAAGGTTTCCCCTTGACATTAAGTCTAGTTGTGTCCGACTCTGGGGGGGGGGGGGGGGGGGGGGGGGGGGGGGGGGGGGGGGGGGGTGAGTGATCATTTCTATTTCTAAGCCAAAGAGCCGGCGTTGTCCGTGGACACCTCCAAGGTTATGTGATCAACATGACTACATGGAGTGCAACATGACTACATGGAGTAACTCCATGACTACATGGAGTTATCAATAGGTATAACACTTCCCACAGAAGTGTTATACCTATTGATCTACTCACATTTGCATATTTTCGAACTGTTAGGTTGGGAGAAGTTGGGGCTAACAGTGGGAGCTCATCAAGCTTCCCGGATTTGAACCGCCAACCTTTCAGTCAGCAAGTTTAGCAGCTCAGCGCTTTAACCTGCTGCGCCACCAGGGGCTCCTATAGACCAATTATATAGCACAATTTCACAAACTACCAAGTCATTACAATAGGTTACACAGCTCAGAATTATGTATAAAGCAACATTCTACAGAATATACTATTCTCTGTTGTGTCTTCTACGTCCTTATGTAGTATCTTACATCCTAACGTAGTATCCCAAAACACAGTGAACGAAAAGAATAAGCCTCCAACAAGGTCATATTTAATTCCATGTACAAGTGCATTTAATTACACATTGTTTATTTCGTGAAATGAAAAATATGACGTTTCAAATATTCACTTAGGTCTACATACAACACAATACTAGAAGACATTCACTTCCCCTACTCTCGTCCTTCACACAGGGCAGAATTGGGGACTGAAAGGGGAAGCTACTCTGTTCTATCATCAACATCCATTCCTCTGGTCAACAAATCACCACTGGCTACAATGCACTGGCAGAATTATTTCACTGATTTGATTTATAATGCAAAGACTGTGCCATCATCTCACTGAATATTTTATGACAGAAATTCTCACGTATGAGAATATCATTTGAGTCAGAATTCTCTCCTGTGTGTGAAGACACTGGGGGAACATGTTCTAGGAGAGCCACCTGATTGGCTCAGCCTCCCTATCTATCATCCCTGCTCCTCCCCAATGGCACAATAAGAGAGAGGATCAGTAGGAATATGCAAAATTCCCTTCAAGAGACACTTATTGATCACTCATGTCTTCTCAGTAACCATTTTTGAGGTAGCTTCCGAAGATTCTTCAATGCATCATGAAAACGATCGCAATCTATCTATCTATGTATCTATGTTGATTGGTTTGTAACACAAAGGCTCCTACATAGCTTGTTGGATCTGGACCAAACTTGGCACACGTATCCTTTATTATTCAACTTAAAATAATTGAATGGTTTGAACTAAAAACTCCACAATTTTCGGAGGAAATGAAAAGGAACAAAGCAGACTGGCTGTAGCTAGGTGAAGTGGCCCTCTGTCATGTAACTGGGAAAGAAAGGGGGTGATGCAGATTGGCAGCTCCTAGGTGACATTTTGTAAGGGAAAGAAAGGGAAAAAGGAAAGGGGGAGGGAGGAAGGTATATAAGGGAAAGAAAGGGAAGAAGGAAAGAAAAGGGAGAGGGACAAGGTGTATGAGGGAAAGGGAGGGAGGGGGAAAAAAGCTGCAAACAAAATGCAAACCTGGGCATTGCTGGGTATATACACTAGAAAGTATATAAATGTTAATAATTATACAACAAATTGAGCCATTTACAGCATATCAAATAAAGTTGCAGAACTACACAAATGAACCTAGGAGCAAGCCCTGTTGAATTTAGTAGAGATTGCTTCTTTGCAAACATGCAGAGCCCTGCATCAATATTCAATTCATGCGTAAGCGTCATGAACCAGGGTCTATAAAGACCAGCTGTGCTCTTGTTAAGGTTTCTGCTTTCTTCAATTGTAATCTATAGTTATTTGGCCACTATTTAAAAGATCAGCAATTCCATTGGAATATAATGCAGGGTGAGAGTCTATACACAAATGTTTGTTTGTAATAGTTGCCCCATGTGTGAATAGTACATCTAAACTAACTTAACCTGACATACGCCTGAGATACTAAGCTAAGCTCCAGGCCTTTTGGAATACAGTAGTCTTATAACTATAAGTAGATTGTCATTGAATTTACTTTCTTAGCAGATTTGAGAGATAGATAGGGAACTCAATAGGTGTTAATCATGATAATAGCCTGATCACAGATTTACAATTAAAATAAACAGAGGAAGAAAAAGGTTGGAAAAACACTAGAGGAAGAGAATAACTGGCTAAAGTTAAGGGTACTTTAGCGTTATCCTATATTGCAAGGAATGCAATACTGGAAATTGAAAGTTACTTGGGAAGGCCAAGAGCTCGAACTCTGTTTCCATCCTAAATATCTCGGTGTCACCTTAGACCAAAGACTAACATTTAGGAAACACTGCATGAAAACCAAGTACAAAGTAACTGCATGCAATAACATCCTGTGGAAACTTACTGGAAGCAAATGGGTAGCAGACCCAAAATTAGTAAGAACATCAGCCCTGGCATTGTCCTATTCAACTGCTGAGTATGCCTGCCCTGTTTGGCATAAGCCTGTTCATGTGAAGCAGGTGAACATAGCACTGAACAAACATGCAAATTAATCACGGGATGTCTCAAACCTACACCTGTTGATAGACTCTACAAGATAGCTGGCATTACCCTCTCTGATAGGCAATGGGAAGTTGCTGCTAACTGTGAGAGAAATAAGGTTGAACACTGTGAAAGCCATACACTGCATGGCTATCAGCCTCCTCCCAGTAGATTCAAATCAAGGAAAAACTTCATGGGAACCACCACTCCTCTTCATGTTCCTTCAGAAACACCAAGAGGATCCCTCTGGGCAGCTGAACTGGGAAATCCCAAATGGACCCCCCTCCGGGGGAGGGGTGCCTCCAGGGGCAAACCAAGAATGGGAAACTTGGAAGTCCTGAACAGACTCAGGAGTGGAGTGGGCAAATCAAAAGACAACCTGGTAAAATGGCACTACCTAAAAGAATCCCACACCTTGTGGGACTGTGGAGCAGAACAAAAAAAATCTGCATCTGTATGCTTGTCCACAATGCCCTGCCTCATGTACAGAGGAAGAATTGTTTAAAGCTACAGACAATGTGATCACTGTTGCCTGTTTTTGGTCAAAAATTGTTTAGCTGCTTGTGCTCCTTCTATTTTTTATCAGTTTTATACTTATGTATGCAATGCTTTTGACATGAAACAAATAAAATCCAATGCTGCAATTTTTAACGTGGATATCCCCAATAGGAATATATTCTTCATTGATGCCAGTGAACGTTCTCCAGGGATGTTCCTAAAGATTGCAGCAAAGAAGGAAAGATTTATGGTAAATTCCAATCTGTTGCAGTCCTGATAAACAGAAGTCCCAATTACCACCACTACTACACGTCACCATCTGACAGAATTTGCATTTTTAGAAACATGCAAGGTGGAAAAGTGTAATTATTTTTACATTCAGTTTGGCCTTAAGTTAAAATTTCAGAGAATTAGAATAGAAGCAGCCTTTGTAAACAGATATGCCTTGATGATTCCTCAAGAGAAGGAGGGACCAGATCATACAAATATTAGGGGGAAAGGAACTCGGAAGATAAGGTGCTTGTTGAAGAAAATGGATGGCGGTATCAGACGAGAGATGCAATCTTTAGTCTAACCAAGAGATCCGTATCTGAAGAATGAAGAGCTCCAGAAAGACTATAAAGATCAATTAAAGAGAAAAGTAAAAACAAGAGCAATAAAGTCTAAGCATTTAGAACTTGTAGAATTTATCAAGGAAGATGTAAGGAAGGGAGCGGTGGCGTTATAATTGGACTGTTGGACTATAGCCTGGAGAACGGGGCTTAAAATCCCCACTTGGTCATGAAACCCCCTGAGAGACCTTGGTCAAGTCACACTCTCTCAGCATCAGAGGACAACAAGGCCAAACCCACTCTGAACAAATTCTGCCAGAAAACACACACAAAAACTTGATCAGTCAGTCACCATAAGTCAGAAATGAGAGAGAAATCCCTGAGAAACCAAACAAAAAACAGCAAACTGTTTTCTGGGTTTTATAGAAATCCAAGAACATCCAGAAGCCAAACTTTCACAAAGTATCAGAAGTTCCTTGTCATCTGATGCTTTTCACTTCTGAAACAAATAGTGTTTTTCTTGCTGTGTAACAAACACATTACATTGCTACTACAGAGCAGCTTTCGTGCCACCATTTCAACAACAACATGCTGTCTCTTTGGATACGTTTAAGAGAGAAGATTGGTTTGGGCTGAAAAGTAAAACGTTAGGAACATCTAAGGAAATGCTGGAAGAGAGAGCAGAGGCAAGTCATTTTGCCACAGAAGCAAAAGGCAAGGTCTTCCTTTCACATAATGTCCTGGTAGAAATATATGGGTTTTAAGAGGTGTATTGCAAATCAGACGACTGTTTTGTATTGCCCTTTTTTTCGTGTCAGGAGCGACTTGAGGAACTGCAAGTCACTTCTGGTGTGAGAGAGTTGACGTTGCCCAGAGGACGCCCGGATGTTTTGATGTTTTACCATCCTTGTGGGAGGCTACTCTCATGTCCTTGCATGAGGAGCTGGAACTGACAGAGGGAGCTCATCCACGCTCTCCCCGGATTCGAACCTGTGACCTGTCGGTCTTCAGTCCTGCCAGCACAAGGGTTTAACCCATTGCACCATCGGGGACTCCAAAATCTCAACACATACGGGCAATTCTAAATTGGGATGCATGTGAAATCTACCACAAGATATCTTAACAAGCTGAAATGTAGGAGGG